GTAAAACAACATGGCATGGGAACAAAGATGGGATGCACCTGGTGTCATCACTGGTCTTCAGTGGGCCATTCATATAAATGTCACAGCTATTTCGCCCTTCACCTAATGGAATCTGTTTCTGCGGGTAATCAAGGCTGGTTATTCTCTTGCACAGATATGTGATATTTACATATGTATGTGCGTCATAAGTTAAAAAAATATAGAAATAAAGTTTTAAAATCACAGATGCATAGTGTGACAAATAAAATAAATAACAAAAAACAAATAAATCAGATGTTAGTAGGTATGGTCTATTCACAAATTCAGTGTATGGTATGATGACTGTGTGTCGAACTGTCTCAGACATACTGTCCTATTATTATACAGCACGTAATAATATCTTTCTTTTTCGATTTAAAATGTCAATTTTATCATATTCATAGCATAGTCACAAGAGCAGAATCAAGTTAAAAACACTGCGCACACGAAATAGATAAAGACAGAACAACAACAAACAACAACAAACACATGGACACACACACACACACACACACACACACACACACACACACACACACACACACACACACACACACACACATATATATATATATATATATATATACATACATATACATTATTACAAATATAGTTGTTATTATATCTGAATGATATACCATGCGCAAATACATGTCACCTACATGCATACTACACATGATTCATTTTTTTGTCTATAATAATGATGATGATGATGATAAAAATAATAATGATAATGAAAATAATAATAATGATAATAATAATGCGTTCGCAACGTATTTTTCTCTTCAAACTAGTTTATTATATCTTTATATGCAAAATTCCCAATAAAGCATCCTATATTTTGTCATTACAAAGATTTCTTTTGAAGTTACACGCGACAAGGAATTCCTTTTTGTCGATATTGACAGGCCACGGTGATCCTCTCATCACGAAAAACTCTATATCATCATCATATTTCAGTTGCAGTGCTTTTTCGATTCATGATACGTATTGAGTTCCATAATTTCTCCTCCTGCCCTCCCATTACACCATGTTCGCGCCATGATGAGATCCCCCACACCAATACGAGGGATTACCACTGGCTCAGATTCTTCAACGAACATACTCCTACAACAATAGGATGGCGCAAAACCAATCTATCAGGGCATGCTTCAAAATATCCTTCCCTGTATTTGGTCACTCCCACAAGTAAGGAACACCCTTAAATATCCCGTGTTAGACAACGGTCATCAATTTGAAACCTAAGGGTCAATATTTTCCCATTGTTCCTTCCTAACATTACGTTAATATTTTTCTTTCTTTATACCTTAAAGTGCGAACGCGTGTGTGAGATAAATATGGATAAAACGCTGTATTATTAGGATATGTTTTAAATAGAAAAAGCTTTTTTAATGTTGATTCAATTTCTGGGAATTTGAAGGATGTGACTATTATCCATGCGCATTAGTGTACACAAGTGCAGTTGATGTGTTATTATATTTTGTTTAACACAATGGCGTGCCAGTAAGCCATTATATCCACGTGTGTCAAGAATAAAATTTCTCACATTTTAGGAAATTTAAACAGCATTACCCTGTTATTAAATTTCAAGATAATAGGCATTGAGCTGATATTTTAAGTAGATAGCATTTTTTTGCATGTTTTAGATATCAGTTTCATTTTAAAGATATTCTAAAGTCAACGGTTTCTTCAGTTAAATGTTTTCTCCGAAACAGCTTCCGTCGTTTTTCGTTTTCACAGCTTTTATGTTCGAATTGTTTCTAAATATTCATAGCCCCCTTTTCACTGTAGTTTCTTTATCTTTAAAATCATGAGCGAAAGATATCAATCAAAATTAATATACTAATTGCATGATCAAAACGGATTATCGTCCTAACTTTTGAGTATCGTAACTATTTCTCAGTGGAAAAGCTCAGGATATGAAAAAAAAACATGTTCCGTTTATATTTACATGGGTTTTCTATGCATGGACGTTAACTGCGTCTTGTGCAATGGAGAAAGCATAAATACTTGCCAAAAAACACTTGTCAGTCTTTCACTCTTGGATGCAATTTTAAAATCTGGAATCTGATCTAGTTTCTTACAGTTAAGTAATTATATCGTGTGTATCCATGTTCCGGTAATGGAAAACTGCATGGATTCACGTGTTGTCCTTACTTGTGCGACGATCAGTATATACAGTTATTACATAAAAGAATTATACTATTCTTACTTGTGAGACATTCAGCACTACTCGTTTACATACATTAGTTGTATTTACTTTAAGACATGCATGCATAGATACAACGTCTTTGTTTGTGTGACTTGCGGTTGCATGCATACATCAATTGTCGTTACTTGTGCGACTTGCGGTTGCATGCATACATGCATTATCTGTATTTGTGTGACTTGTGGTTGTATGCATACATCTATTGTCGTTATTTGTGTGACTTGCCATTGCATTAGTAAATAGCATGGTCTCTAGTTGTGATTTGTAATTGAATGCATATATGCATTGTCTTTACTTGTGTGCCTTACGGTGGGAGGTATACATGCATTTCTTAACTGTAGTGACTTACAATTGAATGTATACACCGTTTTCTTCAAATATGACTATTACCCATGGGAAAATGGGAAAATAACTTACTCTTGTTTCTCGTGGGAATTATGATCCCTTTCCGGTGTATATTCACGCCGAAGGAAATACGAATCAGTCCTGCTTCATTCATATCCCAATCACTGATTATAAATCGATCGTTAATATAGCTCATTATAAAAGAACATTCGGTGAGACACATCGAGACAGTTCGGGTGTGTGAACGAGTGAAGAGGTGCTACGCTGGCGTCTCTACTTGTTTGAAAGCAAATAAGTAGCGAGAAATGATTAATTGCATGTACTGTTAGGAGAACTCCTCAAGGTGATGTCTTCTTAGTTTCACTCGCCTGTCATCCCGCCATAGGTGTGTTGTTTAACATATTTATTAATATTCATTTATCACGAACCATCCCGACTAGATGTGTTATCCGCGAGACCGTTGTCCGTGCGTTCATTCAAGCAAATCGGTTGAACGAAGCTATTATTTTCGTGACAATATTTGTGACCTTTCTCGTGTCAAGCGTAAAAAGAATAGCTTTGTAATGAATACCCTTGTGGTGAGATTATATCACTATCAGAAGGACATTGTCTGGGTTTACGCAGAATAGCTTAGAGTCTGGAGCAGGGAATGTAAACTACAACAAAGATTCAGCATTCAATGTCAGATTCTGAAGCGGCAATTAAACTCCACTTGATAACTATGGTTCCTAGCAGAAAAGACGTCACTTTGGCTTTGAGTTTTTTACACAATGAGAACTAATATTTCCCGAAATGTGAAATATGACCAGAGACAAGAGTGAGTAAGTGAGTATTGTTTTACGCCGCTTGTAGCAATATTCCAGTTTGGTAGGGAGATACCAAGAATGGGCTTTAGACATTGTACTCATATGGGGAATCAAACTCAGGCCTTTGGCGTGACGAGCGAACGCTTTAACCACTTGGCTACCACACTGCCCCCTGAGACAAGATATATAAATCAAAATAATAAAAATAACGCAAGTATTTTGCATCAACTGACATGACGTTTTGTGTTTTTATTTCTCGTGACATCGGTCAGAATATACCATATTTTTTTTAAACAACACCGCAGCATCGGTGGGGTGAAATGTCATTCATAAAAAAAATTACTGAGCCTATTGATCTATCCAATCCAATTCATCATCAAAACGGTTTATATAGTATAAAAAAGATAGTTTCGAGTTTTGTTCTAAATAATCAAAATGTGCTTTGGACTTTCCTAAACATTTCAGGGGCAGTCGGGTAGCCTAGTTGTTAAAGCGTTCGCTCGTCACGTCGAAGACCAGGGTTCGATTCCCGACAAGAATACAATGTGTGAAGCCCATTTCTGGTGTCCCCCGCCGTGATATTGCTGGAATCTCTCGCTAGTCTCGCTAGTCTCTCAATGTATGTGACAGGTAATGGGGTCAGTGATTGTCATGTGGCTGTGTCATGGGTGCCATGTTTGGTTAACGGGATTCGAAGCCTAGGGTTGTTGTCATTATCCCCTTTGGTCTGTCTACAACATGTCCATCGTCTTATGTTTCACAACAATTAAACACATCCACGGCCTGAGGCGCATAGGGCAGTTTAAGATGAACATTTGACTTGTCTGTGCATATGTTTGTGACGGGATAACCTTAAACGAACACCTGGTGTCATCCTAGTGATTTAAAAACACATTCTTATGATATAGTTGGAATCGAACAATGATCTTTTAGCAGAGATTTCTTATGATTATGGAAATATCAAGGAAATACCAGGTTCAAGTCTGTGGTTTGCAGTGCGAGGGCTGAGATTATAAACGCTCACCCTTCTGAGAAACCAATGATCATCATCAGTCGGGTACTGAGATTTGAACCCACGGCCAGCGGATCCTGACACAACTGAGGAGCGAAAATCTCCTCAGCGAATTTCAGCGCTGCGCTTGTGACGACTGGGCCACCGCACCCACGCCTTCGGAAATATGTCTTATTTCTGTACAGTTCACCCCCCCCCCCCCCCCCACCCCACCCCACCCCACCCCACCCCACCCCACCCCACCCAAAAAAAAAACTTAATTAAAAAAAATGTATATATAATGTTTGTTGCCACGGTCAGTAACCGCCGCAGTCAGCAATATTCCAGCTATATCACGACAGTCGGATACTATTTCATTCCCCAACGTCAGATACGATGACACGCAGTCAACCAAGTCACCGAGCCTGACCATCCCATCCATGTCGTCGCCTCTGAATAGCATGGCTCACTTGGGACCTATTCTAAGCTGTTATCGTCCCATACTGACACACTGTTCAAAGAGGCATTGCACTCAACAGGTCACACTCACACGTGTTGTGTGGTATTCAAAACTCCAACTCAAACATCTGCAACGAAACAAGTTTATTCGTTTCATTCTAGATATGCTCTATGTTCATGACACCATGACAACAACAGCATCCAAAGGCACAATAACTCGCAATATTGCAAAGCCCGGCTGATGATAAAGTAAATTATCATGACTTCACATAGCACCTTTCAAATAACAAAAACTTTAATATCATTTGGTAAGGCACTAATATCAATGAGACAACGGTCCATAACATTAGGTAACAATTACACTTGGTGCACAAGAAGAATATACTCACAAGGACAATATTTGGCTGTTTGAAACGATAATGTACACAAAAATATGTACATATGTAAAAGGTTTCACGAGATTGAATTTATGCTATACTCAAGACATGATGATCAGTTTCAATGCCAAGACTTATTTTTCTTGTATCTGGGTCCATGGACAATATGACTGACAATAAGTTATATACTGCATTAATAACTTTGCTATTATACATAATTTATATTTTACCAAAATTGACAGTATAGTTGGATCTGTCAAAACTGGATTCAGTAATTGACTAGACCGTGTCAGATATCAGACAGGGAAGTCATAGACAGTCTAGACAGTGATTGGACGAAGATAGTTGACCGTGCGGACGGGACATCCTTAAAAATGTAAATAAATAAAATTTCTGAACATTTGACAATATCACAACTTGATTGTTTGACGTACAGTTTCCTAGTTATAGGTTAGAGTGATATTAATGCTATGATTACATAGTTGCTGCTTTATGTTCTGATACGACTGGTTACTCTGGTGTTGAAGATAGTCGCCGTGGTAACGAGGAAGTCTGGAGATTCCGTCATTTCCATGTATATTTGCATTTTGCGTGTCAGTTTTAGGTAACTGCCTGTAATTTCCGTTCCCGTAACCTGGTGTGGAACTTGACGAAGAAGCAAAGCTGGGAGGTTCACGAAACCGGATCCAAGGAATATCAGTGTCTTTGCTGTTTGAATGGGCAAAACTGTTCTGAAGAACATCAAAAGCCGTTTTAGGGGCTTCGTTTGGGTGGGATTTTTGCTGAACCGGTTTCAATTCTTCAAGCCGTCGTGGAGGAGACGAGGAACCGGTTGCTTCGTGAGAGTCACTTGCCTTACACGTGGAGAAGAAGGCACTGCTAGCACGGTCTTGATTTGTCTGTTCGGCGCCATAGATAGAGAAATATCTTTCTGAGGATTGGATGGATGGAATATCTGGAAACTTGTCTGTGTACTTTGAGAACGAGTTGTCAATGTGTCCTTCGCACATGTTTCCAATGCGGGACTTGGGACAGAAGCTGAAAGGGTCACTCAGATCAGGCTCTGACTTCACACCTCCACTGTTACCTTTAGCAGCGTCCATATTAGTGACATCATCAAAACGTGTGTACCCAGTTGACGGGTCGGAATGCGTTGGAATGAAAGCTGACGTCTTATGATCAATTTCTGGGGCGTCATAAAACGACTTTGAGAATAGATCGGACCTAAAGAATAACGAGTCATCTCTTTGACGACTGGTTGGTTCAAACATAGAGCTGAAGTTAGGGATCTGACCTATCCCTTGGTTTGTCGAGCAGGAAACAGACAAAGATGGCTGAGTTGTGGTGTATGATGGGAATTTTCCTTCGTCGTATAGAAACGAAGACGATCCATGGAAGGTTGATGCTCGTGTCCGGTTGTAGTCGGGAGCATGAAGCCGATGATCAAATGAAGGAGTCGACGCATGCGCATTAGTGATGCTGATCTGCGTAATGGAGGCACTTGGTTGGTAAGGATCTTTGAAAATATCACATGTTGGCAGGAAACCTTTATATGAGCGGGAGTTGGAGCAGGTGCACTCAAATGGCGGACAGGAACACATAACATCATCATCTGTAACAGAGTAAAAACATTTTATTTCTACACGTTAAGACATCCTTAACACAATGTGCAAACACACCTTCTTGACTACACGATTGGCATTAAAATATATATATAAAACAAAGGTGAAACATCGATCACTGTGCATAGCAGAATGTACCCAATTACAAAGGTTGATATAATTCCAAGTCTTGTTTCAACATCCCCGCCAAATCTCTTAATTTTGAAACTATATTTGACTCGTAGTAGATGGAGCACATATCTTGATCACCTGATAGGAGCTGACATAGTATGACGTACCTGTTTGTGAGGAGAAGAACTTCTTCTGGGCGATATCCAAGGACGGTTCACTGGCGTGACGCTTACGTTCTGTGTACACATTATCCGGGACCTGAAGAAAGTGAGTGTGTGAAACAAATGAATTCATTGATTCATATGGACATCTGTGTTTTTGTTTTCTATTTATTACTTAGCGTCCAATGAATGGAGTTAAGAGGTAATTGTATATTTGATACTGTTACATTCATTGAAATCTTACTTTCTTATTGAATTCGTGAGGTTTCAAATGTATTATTCAGAGGTATCAAATTGTTTTTGAACGCTGTTACTAGCTGTCGTCCTGCCCTACACTACAATGGCATTATCCACATCAAATAGTGAAGCAACTTTACATCGGAATAATACATTTTAATCAAACTATAAATATTTGATACCGTGCTTTTATTAATCTTTAATGTGAAATATACATTACATAATACTTAACGCCGCGATATTACTGGAATACTGTTAAAAGCGACGTTAAACCACACTCACTCACTCACACACTCACAATAATACTTACGCCTGCGCTCTTGCACTGACGACTTCCGGTTATATGGCGGCGACTCTCTGCAACTGACTTGGCTTCCGGCCTGGGGTGGTCGTGGTAACCTTTGGCCTGGAAATATATGGCCCCATTGAGATGTCGCCAGAAGTGGGTTACCGGGTAGCCACAGTGACCCCGACATGGCATCAACTCCAGACGTCCAGAACATGATGGATTCGGGCAGGGTTTGTCTGAAGAAGAAACACGGATGTGAGATTAAAACTTTACTCCATTAGGATTTAACAAAGTAAGACAAACATCAACTGAGTACAATATCCCTAATTTTGTCCCAGGGACATACCTTCCAAGCGAGAAGGCGCATTGAGCTTCGGCTTGCATTATTATATTGCTTTATGGAACTTTTTTCAGAATGATTTCAATTATGTCTTTTGACGGTGTCTTCAAAGAATTGCTTCTTTAACATTGCCGTTCAGACTACTCACTCATTTGTTTTCTTCTTGCTTTGTCACAAATAGCAGGTCTGAGATGAACCTTCTCGCCATTCTCTAGAAGACAGTCCAGGTTACACACAAGCACGCCAAGGCAAGATTTCTTCAGAATAAGTGAGTTGTGATTGTTTGTATTGCGCATGGCCCAGCCGCTCACATGACGCCGGCCGTCTTCCTGTTCCGGGCTGTACACGTACCGCGCATGTCCGTTTGGCCATAACTGGAACTTATCGAACTTGACTACCTGTGGAGAAAAAATGGATATTTTAAAATTGACATAAGTGTAGTTTATTTCATTTTTTTCTTTTTAATCTTGTATTAGTTATATTTCAAACGAGCCTATAAAATTATGATTTTATATGCCGTACGTACATCTTGGGGTAAATAGTTACCACGTGTTATTGTTATCTACATTTTTTAGTATCATACATTCTTTAATCATTTCACTTTTGGTCATATCTCTTCGACCTGGCATATTTATTTAAATGCTCATCAGTTTACAGAGCATATATTTTTACATTGACTATTCATATTTATATCCATTATATCCATTTACTGGAGCGATGGGGTAGCCTTGTGGTTACAGCGTTTGCTCGTCACTCTAAAGGCCCGGGTTCGATTCCCCACATGAGTACAACAATTTTGAAACCCATTTTCTGGTGTTCCCCGTCGAGATATTGCTGGAATGTTGCTAAAAACGGCGCAAAAACATACTCACACATACTATCCATTTACAGTGCATATCCGTTTACAATGCATGTCCATTTACAGTGTCCAAACATATTCTTGAATTTCCTAATTCTTTATATATTGCAAAACACTTTATTATAAACATATAAACATTACTATCATTCAAATATCTGATTTTCTAGAAACTTTGTAATAATCACGCATCACAGTTGAGAAGGGGATTGATTCAAAAGTTTACTGAAATTTAATAAAAAGAGAAAGAAGTTTCAATCAAATGGCAATTAAAATCTAATAGCCTACAATATGTCTGTTATTGCATCACGACCCCTTCCGTAAGGGAACGGGTTGACATCACCTTCTTGCCCTATTGCATAAGAAGACTCTCAGGTTTCGGCCTGGTTCAAATCTTCTATCCTACTCGTGCCCTTATCCTACTCATGTTTTGTTAAATTAAACCTCTCCAAAATAGAATAAACGAGCTATCTATTAAAACAATATGATCCACGGCTAATAACTAGGAATCGAACGGCCTGGATTTGTATGTGTAATCTTATTCACGCAGAAGGCTCATAACAAGATATTGCGTTACCATTTGACAAGAGAGAAGTTTCATCATTTAGACTTTACGCTTCTTGATTTTTACAGCTTCATGAATGGGCTTTTGAGGACCTTAAAAGGGTACTACTTTTATTGTCGACTGGATTTACGAATTTCGGGGCCGTATCAGCCCTTCTGTAGTGTCTAGTCAGTAGGCGTGGGAGAGCTAGAATTTGATACGGAGGTTTTACTCAGACTGCGAATGTCCTGACGATCTCATTGTGTTTGACATATGCAGGAACTACTGTGTTCCGAGGCGGGAAGTGTCATTGTAAATCTCAGTGTTTAGCAGTAATCAGTTTCTCGTCTTTGTCTATTCTCGTCGTCGAATAGCAATACAGCAGATAAAGCGTGAAGCATTTACTCATTAACTGAAACTGAAACAAACTGAAGTGTCTGTGGTGACATTATCAAGTAAAAACAGCCTGATACTGTCGGTGATGAACATGAAAATATGTTATTATGTATTTCATACATAAACGTCAGACGGAGTCAATATCAATGAAATTGGAGTATGAAAAACATATAAAGTCGCTGATATTAACAGACTGCTTTGCAAGTTTACCTTTTTTATATGACTATCACTACAACTAGGCGTTTTATACCGACTGCTTCATTAGCGTCAATCCATTTTTTTCGAAAAGAGCGTTTCGTTTCTTTTAGTCTCCATTTAATATACTAGTATTCAAGCAAAGCGAAAACATTGACTTCAACACCCATTTGGGGCCTAAGGCCGACATATGTCGCTATAGTTTTGTTTTGACCACAGTTGTGTGTTAAGGTCAGACGTCTCATTTTCCGAAGTCACCTATAATGATAGATTATCAAGTTTTAAATAAAGGGACTTGATAGCTTTGTCCAAAGTCGCAAATTAACCTGTCGAGTGGACAGTGCTTATTCCTACACTCTCTACACCCCGTCTTTGAAGACCGGTAACATGGCACAGATAAAGTGTCCATAGGGGATGCACTTGGGATGTCTATGCCATTTAAAACAGTGTGTTTATGTGTGTTTTAAGAAACGAAATAAGTGTTGTTCAGCCCCTAGACATCAATAGTCCGTAAAGTATACTTAACAAGTCAACATAACAAAACACACACGACTCTAATTTTGACCGTTTGACCAACTCCCACCTAACAATCCTACAATCACCGCCGTAACTCAAGCCATAATGCCAACATTACTCCACCCTAAACCTTAACCCAAATCCTCTTCTTCAGGAACGGAAAACAATCTCTTGTCATTTGAAATATACAAGCAATATCCTCCCCATAGGGGCTTTTGAACTTTTATAACGAATTTAAATTCAAAACTTTGAAATACAGTAATATTTACAAAATGATGAGCAGCTGAGGATACCACAGATTATTTCTAAGGATGTTTTCATGTTAAGATGCAGTTAAACGAAAAGTCTGTTGTACCATACAAGGCTGACTCGTCTTTGTTCGGTTTATGTGTTGTTTTCGTTTAGTTACCAGTGCGGCATAGTTTTAGGTGTATTATGCCTCTACATTGGAGCATTTGTTTTGGTTCTTAAAAAAGAGATGCGGGCATCCATATTTCTCCCCCGGCTCTCAGACTGGCCACATGCCATGCGGGCGAGAAAGAGCGACATCGACACGTCTAACAAAAACTTAGCAATTTCTCCGTCTTGTGAAAATATTCTCCGACTGAAAATGAGAGGCTGGAAAAAGACTAAGGTATGAGGTGCCAGATTGCATAGTGATTGGATTTCGTGTAATTAATTTATGTATATATTTCATTTGTTCTGGATGCAAATTAATTCGGGTAGTATTGAAATAGAGACGTTGAATGCAGGTTTGGGCTCTTTCAGGCCCGTGCAAATTGATGTTTAATTCGAATTAAGAACCAAAGTGAAATTGATGAAAATTAAAAAGTAATACCGTACAAGTCTTCTGCTCACGGTCACATCGACTCTGTGAAATGACGTTATAACCTGAATTTGCACATCAAATGATCCATTTCTATACAAGATCATGATATTGTTGTAAATAAATATAAAATGGTAATTTGTTCAACATGGGGAACAAAATTCATTTTGGAAAGCATTTTATATGCGATTTTATTAGTATATTATTTGTCTTTTTCTGTAACCAAACTTTCCGCTGAGTTGCTGCCATGCGGTTATGTTAAAACTTGAAACTCATCGCGGTGTTTCAATCTGCACCTACTAACACGCCAGCACTCAGTAGTTGCCAGTTATACCCTGTGAGGAGTCATCCTCGGCTTTGTAGCATATTCTCAACAACAAGCCCACCATTGTTGGGGCAGTAATTTAAGAACCTGCCGTCCCTGTATCGTACCCCTCCCCATCTTACTCCACCCCACCCCTCTCCTCATCCCCCATCCTACCCCTTGAAGATAACGCCGGGGTAATCGGCACGCGCGAGATGTCACCGTGCCACGCTCCGCAGCCCGGATTTCCAATAGGGAGCTGTTGGAAAGGACATTTAATATTTCCCCCTTTTTCAGCATGTCCTGCTGAGGTCAAGGGTCACACATGCGGTGTTCCTGTGAATTGTCCCATGCCCACGTTCAACAATACCTCTATACATGTTGTTCAATTGTTACTACTGGGTTGCTGGTAGGCACGGCCTTGTTGTCAGTGAGCTTTATCTCACACAGTGTCGGTGACACAGACATGGACGATAACGTCAGACTTGAGTCACCAGTGCATATATTATTTTGTCAAAACAGATCCATTTCATTTGTCGTAAATGGCTTAAAAAGTCACATTGTTGAAACAATATTTAAAATATTTCACTTGATTATTTATTTCGGCAATTGTGATGCTTATCCCAATTCCAGTTTCCGGACATCTGGTATACGTTTATCGATTAATGTAGCATGTTTATAACGTTTATTATCTAATTCTAATGACTGAACGTATTGAATCTGCCTATTATAAACAAGTTTAGTTCATTAATCTCGCTGACTAACACGGAATGCAAACAGTTAGTTATAATCAATAATGATAGATTTATTTGAAAATAATATTAACAGCTACTGGCTCAAAACACAACCCTGTGAAACTCCTTATGTTCAGAAATGACCTGCACAAACAACTCACCGATGGTAGACCGCTGTCGTTGATGTCCCATTGATGTGTAGACTTTGTATGGCTAACGTCGACGTTCCTGGGAACTGGAGAGGATAACGTGGGCGCATCGATAGGCTGGGGGAGGCCGGGTTGAGGGGTACGAGCGAGACTCCTTGCTGACGGCATGGTTGCCGTCGTGTCTTCTAAATGCATATGTCTTCCCTGCTGTAAAGAAAGGTACATGTAAATGTCATGATATTCTTGCTGTGAGTGGAAAAGATAATCTCCGCTGCTGAAACGAAATAACTAACTAGTATTTCATATAACACAAAGTCATCTGTATGCAGCATCAACGATTGATACCCAAAACTTTAAAATTAAAACATTCATCGAAAACATTATAATTTATCTAGGTCTATTGATACAAAAATGCAATATTTAAAATAATGTGTTGCTAACTGATAAACATGTTGCCACACTTTTAATTAATAATTACTAATAATTTCAATTGATGAATATTCATAAAGAACTAAAGCGTTTCGGACACGCTTCATCTCCTATAAAAGACAAACTTTAACAGGAATATTTTAACACCCTGTTTGATGTCAAGCTATAGATACATATTGGGTGAGGAGCATGACACTTATGGAAATGCGGGAAAGACAAAATGTTGATCCTTATTAGTTGACACTCGATACATTATTTGTTTAACATGAACAATGGAACATGTGGGATGTAGTTATTAAGGTCCGTGTCGCATGTAACACAGGAAAATAAGCACAGTATAAGATATCATGCGATGTATATACCGGGAACAAACGATGAAGGGGAGGTAATCCCGTTACGAACGACATTCCCCAATTTACCGACTATAAATTATCGGCTGCTATTATTGGCCGGCCGCTTTGACAAATATGACTGGTGATTGGGCCGCGCTGATGTCTTAAGGGTCTGTGGCACGCGCCTCGGCAGTCATGGCACGTGCCCAGCCAACAAGAGGGGTCAGTGTATTGCTTGAATCACTAATAAGAATAACTCAGAAAATCCAATAAAGTCCGTGTCAACCGCATCCAGCATTTAGTGACAATATTTCGATGTTGAATAATCCCCTATTCTGAGGTGCGTCGTTTTTAACGAACCCTGATTTTTACTTAATTGTCACCAGGCGTTTGGGGAAAATATTTAAGAGCCTAGAAATATTGACTCACTTGTTTACCGGTTTATTGTTTGTGATATTTGATATGGGACGTATTTTTGGATTGATTCTTATCTTTTTTCAGTAAGTACATTTTCAATTAACATTTTTGTCGCACAAATAGCACCTATTCCTAGATGCGTTGTGCTTACTTTATTTTTAATTTTCAGATTCGTTCTTAATTTAAAATATATCTCAAGTAGAATTGCACATTAATACAACTATTATGAACAACATTATGAACAACTAAATTAATACAGTTTAAATATATAGAATGTCAAGAAAAATAGCTTTTCATCTAAGCTACCTCGCTACATGGCTTCAATATTGCCGATGCTATGTAAACAATTAACTCACTGAACGAAACTCTTAGTGAGCTCTTATCTTCGTTTCAACGAAATATACCCAGTGTTACAGTAACATCATGTTTATAATACAGTGGAGTCCACCTAACTAAAGTACGCATACATACTATTAGCAGTTAAGTAAAGGTTATTCTTTGGTCCCAGCGATATCCGTCATAAACCATCATCATTTGAGTTCGGATAAGTCTAATGTTCAAGTAAAAACATTTTGGTAAGTAAGGGAGTTTCTGGCCCCTATTAGTACATTTTAATATAATATAATATAATATAATATAATATAATATAATATAATATAATATAATATAATATAATATAATATAATATAATATAATATAATATAATATAAAGCTAGAAAGAGTTATAAGAATCAAGGATATTCCTTTAATCTCCGAAATCAGGTTTCAGAAAGACATATCAAATTTTACGAATTTATCTCAAATTTCATACCCAGCTATCACTCATATACACCCAAATGTTTTGATCAAAATACCCATTATCAAATAGTAATATCAAACAATTTTCATGATTAAAAAGAAGTATGTTTCAGTAATGGTGTGTAAAGTACATCCTTTTAGATATTCTTTAAAGAACAAAACAACAGCAAATTTATACAGGGGCACTACGCGGGGGTATACATGTCAATATAAATACATTCATATTAAAATACCAAAATTATAAGTCAACCTAAACAAGTTAATGTAAACATAAACGAAATAGTAACAATTTTACAAATGCTTAAGAAAATACTAACCTGTATGATATGATGAAGGGGATAGGTATCCGCCTTGCGTGACACCTTGTTCACACTGTTTTTTTCACACACAAACTCTCTTGAAAAGGAATCACCGTTGTTCTTTGACGGTGGTTTTTACTATCTGAGGGAGTCGGCCTGTTGCTCTTCTGTCAAATACACGACACAAAATACGCGCACGCGCTGAGACCCACGTGGTAATTTATAGCCCGCAAGAGAATCCTACCTCCCTTCACTGCGGGCCAATCCTAACGGTTCTCACTGGTGACGTCACAAAAATAACGGTTTTTGGTCGGAACCCACACGAGTGATATGCTAATCGAAATACATTAGCCAAACTTGTCGTGACATTGATGAGATTACAAAGCAGTCGACGCGTAAAACCGCAAAATTTTCTGAAAAAGTTAGCATTGTGTAGAAAGCATGCTTTCTTGAAGAACTAGATTTATAGACCAATATGCGGTGATTGTGTTTGTGACTATTTAAACCCAATGAAATGTATTGTTATGGATGTTAGTGTTATATATAGCGGAAATGATTAGGAAATTGGTGTCGTAAGGTTATAATTGACAGTAAATCAGAATTTGCGGAGATTTAATATTATCTCCATATCACAAACCTTAAATCAGAAATACAATCATAATCATCTCCCGTGTCTAATGTCTTCGATTCTTATATTTTCTCAGTACATTGGTGTCACATTCAGGTATTCCACAAGGGCTACTTTACCAGTGGGTTATGAAGTCATATGAGGATAGCAACAAAGGAGGTTCCCCAGGGCGATTATAGGTATAGGGGCTCCATAGAAAAGATGAAGTATCAAATGCAATTATTTTTTTGTTATGAAGCCGTAGCTGTCATTTAAACATTACATTTTTATCATAACAATTTTCGGAACAAGAAAAATGAAGAATATAATCACCTTTGCTGGCAGGTTGTTAAAAATATTTAATTTCAAACAATGGCAATGCTGACATCACATCAAAGCGTCGATTAGTAGAGTTTTGTTTCATCCACTAAAACAGCGTGTGTGGGTCGTTCTCGTACCAGCATTGTAACACTAAATAAAATCATTTTATGTCTTGAAGCAGGTATGTGCAGTATTGCCCTGTAGCGATGCGTTACGTCAAGCAGTGGGGAATACTCCACAACAATGGTTATGTCCTGCTCTGTCGACATTTTAAGACACTCGGCATAAACAATGTTACTTTGGTACAGTCGGCACTCGGCAGTCTGGAACGCCAAACTTTCGTATCATTGCATTTTTAGAATACACATGTATTTCCTCACCTTCGAAATATATTTCTGATGCCAAAAAGCATGTTAAATGTCGCTTTGACATTGTGATTTTAAATGCATATTGTGGTGGCGGAGGAATATAATGTTATGACAGTGAACTATGTGTTCACCTCCATCGCCTGAGAAAATTAAAACTCTTTGAAAATATTTTTTAAACGCTTCCAGAAAACACCTAAAATCTATTGGACACATTTCAGCATTACCTATAGATTCAGTGTTGGTATCGGTCCGAAACATACAGTTGTTGAAACGAAAGAAATCTGATTCTCATTCATGTGAACACAACTGATCACTTTCTAAAGGATTTATTCAGGATTTCCCCATTTTATTTCTGCATATCCCGTGGGCCAGATTTGGGCCTTATCACACCCTCTCCTTTGAATTAAAAGTTGGAACGTTTCATAACAATAACAGTTCCATCATGACGCAAAGTAAAATATTAAACAGTACCGCTTTTAGGAATGACGAGCATGGTCATTGGAAAAATGGTTTAAGACATTGTGGCGGGTATCAGAGTCTTAGTTCAGAGGATTCCATTGTAATAATTGTTTCTGGAACAGATTCGCATCTCAAGTACTGCAAGCTTCTTCCTTTTACTTCGCGCTATTTATCATATATGTATTGCGTTGTTGTTATGGTGGAGTTAATTGTATTCTGGAGTTAATTGTAGTCATGGCTCGTAATCAAACATTTTCATCTTTTATAAACAGGCTATATTTTACACTTCCTTACGAAATGAAATGTTCTCTCATTCATTCATTCACCTCGTCATTCACCTCGTCATTCACCTTAGCCCTACTCTGATTCCGGGAGGTATTGAGGAGGTATTTTACTGTTATAAGCATGTTGTGTATTTACTTGTTTTGGCTGTCACAGAACATTTTCTTATTCATTGTAACATTCATAACCTTTTTCAGTGCCTTAACACCCAACAGAAGTTCTGCAACTTACCTGCTTGTTGACTCACCGTTAATAATACATGCTATACCACATTGTATCATGTCGTCCCGTATAATAAACGCCTGATTGTAAATGAAGTTGAGCTGAAATAAATTAATACAATACATGTAATATTAATTATACGCTCGCTAAAAACATTGCTTTGAATTGCTCTGATTTGATGGGTGGGTTTTGTGACATAAAATGGCTGGTGTTAGTGTAAGTACGAATCTCCAATGATCGCAGTTATTCGTAACTCGAACACTCGTGATGTTTGTTATGTTGCATTCTGGCAGGCATTGATAATTCGAAGCTGCCTTATCATGTACCACTACGTTATCCTAGGCGTAGTCATCTCGACTCGAATTAAGTGTTGTGCTGGAGAAAGACAATGATTTGGTTGAAAAAGTAGGACTATAGGGTAACAGATGGAATTTGGTGATAACAAAAGTTTAAAAAGAGGGATTTTCTCTTGAGCAGCCAGACACCATGTATGGTTCACTTGTTCACGTGGACGGTTACCGACTGTAGCCAGGGTAGTTCTTTTTGCGCCGGACCCAACGCCATAACCATGAGGAGTTACTTCCCTTTACCAGTTGCTCACATAGAATGTCAATCGCCAAATGACAATGTAAGCTTTGTAATAGTTTAGCAAATATAATCCTTT